GGGGGCAATATGCTGACTCTGTAAACCGCTTAGAGAGGGCTGAAAGCCCTATGAAGCGGTATATAAGTCTAACTGCTATTGCTATTGCTATCATAATTTCTGGGGTATTTCGGGAACGGATATAATACAACATGCAACTCCAGCGAAGTGGTTTGTATGCATTACATAGTGTTTTGGATACACGCAGAAGCAATGGAACATGCCTGCTTAGTTTCCTAAGAGAATGTTACTGTAGAATACTTTGTGCTGAGATTAGTTCTGTAGCAGTGGATAATTAATTGTGGGATTGGGTCTCTGAAGGTAAGAATATTTGAAAACTACTGGAATTAAGTCAAGAATCAAATCCCTTTCAGTTGCCCTTATGCAAATTGGCTTCCTGAGACTCATCAAGGCCATAACTCAATTAAAACCAAGGTTTCTTGCAAAAAACATCTAAGTAGTGCAGATTTAAGGTTTTATAAGCCAGCTGCCCCCCACCCCCACCCCAAGTTCATTAAAGTCCTCTAAATAAAAACAGGCATTTTACTTTAGAATGTGCAAATTGGTATAAAAGAAAGGGTACTCGGTCGCATTTCAGCGTAGAGCCCATAAAAATTAGGATTTTGCATTTGCTTTCATCAAGAACTCTTCTGCCTTGTTTACTGACATAGCAGGCGGTTGGACTCAAAGGCATCTAAGGTCCCTTCCAGGTCTATTATTTTGTATTCTGTTGCATGGAGCAAACCAACATTTCAAGCCTTAATGAGGTTGTTTACCAGCTACAGGTGTTTGAGTGGGGGTGGGGGCGCATTGGTGGTCAGAAATAGCAAGGGAGTGAATGGAGTATCATGGAGTGTCAAACCCCACCATTTCTGTCCATACATCATTTAAAAGGGGCAGGGTTTGCATTGTGATACTCCTTCTGCCACCCAACTGAATTTAACTCTCCCAATGCCATTGGATAGAACACAATTTGTGTGTGTGTGTGGGGGGGAAATAACCCCTCCATCTGACTTCATTAGTAAGTATTATTATCAAAATCAAAAAATCAAAGTAAGATAGACGTGTCCTCTGGTTGGATAATAAGGAGGGTGGCTTAATTTATGTTACCTCCAAGGTCTTAGGTTTGGTCCCCAGATTTCTCCAGGTGAAAAGGAGTCAAGGAGAAGCCCCTTTGTACCCTGGAGAGTCAGAATAACTGAGCTGGAAGGGACCTTGGAGGTCTTCTAGTTCAACCCCCTGCTCAAGCAGCAAGCCTTGTATCATTTCAGACAGATATTTGTCCCAGTCATAAAGGAGAATATTTGAACCTCAGGATTGGCATGAGGGGTGCTTGGCGCTCTCTGGCCTTGCTTGTTTTCTTGCAGACGTTTCATTACCTAAACCAGTGTTTCTCAACCTTGGCCACTTGAAGATGTCTGGACTTCANCCTGGGTCGCAGAACCGGCAGCGACCCAAGCTTGCCACACCACCACCCCCCCCGAACTGGTTGCCTCGCCGCCACTGATGTCGCCGCCATGTTGTTTTGTAGTGACCGCCCGTGCGCAGTTCACTGTAAATTGTTCTGCGCATGTGCAAAACGCTTGCGAAGCGAACGGGTAGTAAAACCAGCAGCCACACACCCCTGGTTTTAGTATACTGAATTCCATGAAGGAAAGATAGTATGGAACACCAGGTGGTTTTTATGATAAGAAGAATATCCAAAAATATTTACTATTGTACAGTATACCTGTACAGTAGACTTATAACCATTCATTGAGTGGCTGTTCAAAGTTTAAAAAGTGAGTTATGAATGGTCCTCATACTTGTGTCCATCACAGCCTGCCCATGGTCATATAATCTAAATTTGGGCACTTAGCAACTGGCATGTAATTTATGATGGTTGCAGTGTCTTGAGGTCCTGTGGTCATTATTTGTGACCTTCCCAGTTGCTTTCCAACAAGCAAAGTCAATGGGGAATACTGGATTCGCTTCATGACCACTTGGTTCAATTAACAACGACAACGATTCACTTAATAACCATGCCAAAAAAAAGGAAAATAGTGTGACTCACTTAACAACCAACTTGCTAGGCAATGGGACTTCTGGTCCCAATTGTGGTCACAAGTCAAGGATTGGTGTGGCTGCTGTTGCTATTACTGTCATTCAATTGCACAGGCATCGAAACATTTTAGTCAAATTTGATCAAATGAATAATAAGACCAAGTGGGGACAGTATTCCCAGGAATGCCTGGTGGTGAAAACTTTTAGAGAAACATCCTTGGGTGTTGAGGCAGGCATTGACAATTCCTTCTATAAATAGGTGAGTAGGCCTGGCTTCAGCCCTGAAAGAGGCCGCGTATCTCTTTCAGTGTTCTGGAGTGATAGCAATAGCACTTAGACTTATATACCGCTTCACAGGGCTTCACAGCCCCCTCTAAGTGGTTTACAGAGTCAGCCTATCGCCCGCAACTACCTGGGTCCTCATTTTACCCACCTCGGGAGGATGGAAGGCTGAGTCAACCTTGAGCAAGTTAGGCTCGAACTCTTGGCAGTGGGCAGAGAGCAATATTGCATTTTAGCCAGTGGTGAAATTCATTTTTTTTATTACTGGTTCTGTGGGCATGGGCGTGGCAGGGGAAGGATATTGCAAAAGCTCCATTCCCACCCCACTCTGGGACCAGCCAGAGGNGGTTCTCCAGAACCTGCTGGATTTCACCTCTGATTTTAACCACAGTGCCATCACGGCTCCTTGCCTCCGTAATCAAGTGGTTGAGCACTCTATGTCCGGACATGTGATCACGGAGGAAGGGGTGACAATCAGAACTTCAAATCCACGTCATAAATACCTCATAAATAGGTTTGTTAGAACTCCACACAATTGTTAAGCGACCAATCGCAAGTCAAGGACTATCTGTAATGTGACAATATGAAGAGTAGGTCCTCAGGTGTCTGATTCTAAAATCAGGCAGGTTTCTGTGAACCTGGCAATCCAACACACGTCCTTTTGTTAGCTTGATAGGAATAGAGCAATGTTTCCAAGCACAGCTTATGCCTGACCACTATTTCTTTCTTTTTTTCTTAATTCCTTACCTTCAGGATGAATTCCATCCTTTCATTGAGGCCCTCCTCCCTCATGTCCGGGCTTTCGCCTACACCTGGTTCAACCTCCAGGCCCGGAAGCGCAAGTACTTCAAGAAACACGAGAAACGGATGACGAAAGATGAGGAGCGGGCTGTGAAAGACGAGCTGCTCAACGAGAAACCGGAAGTGAAACAGAAGTGGGCTTCGCGCTTGCTGGCCAAGCTGCGCAAGGACATCCGTCCCGAGTACCGGGAGGACTTTGTGCTCTCCATCACGGGGAAGAAGCCCTCGTGCTGCGTCCTCTCCAACCCCGATCAGAAGGGCAAAATGCGCCGAATCGACTGTCTCCGCCAGGCTGACAAAGTCTGGCGCCTCGACCTCGTCATGGTGATCCTCTTCAAAGGAATCCCCCTGGAGAGCACCGATGGGGAACGCCTTGTCAAGGCCACACAGTGCACCAACCCTGTCCTCTGTGTCCAGCCACACCACATCAGTGTCTCGGTCAAGGAGCTTGACCTCTACCTGGCATATTTTGTCCGCGAGAGAGGTAGGCTATCAAGCTGGTTGTTACCTATGACGGGGCCTTTTCAGGAAGGAATTTTTCTCACTCCTTAGCTATGATATTGTAGGAGCCCGATGGAGGGGTCAAACACGTTATCAGTCATGAGTCCCTGTGCGCCCACAAGAGATCTAACTCTAGCCCACTTTGAATACCTTCTCAATTCCTGCTCATTTTCCTTGGCAGTTAGTGCAGGTAGGTTCATTTAGTGACTGTTTGAAGTTACAGCCCTACTGAAAAAAGTGACTTATGACCATTTTTCACACTTATGACCATTGTAGCATCCCCATGACAATTTAGATGTTTGACAACTGGTTCATGTTTATGATGGCTGCAGTGTCCTGGGGTCATGTGCTCCCCTTTTGCGACCCTCGGACAAGCGAAGTCAATGGGGAAGCCCGATCCACTTNCTGTGTGATCTAATGGGTCTTTGGGAGGTAATTGGCAGCAGGCGGTCTCTCAAGTAGATGCTACCGTTAGAGACCTCTACTCTAGATTTACCTTCCTTATCCACCCTCCAACCTCCCGTTACTTTCCTCCCTCCTCTTCAAAAGTGCACTTCCTACAAAAAAATAATAATGTGCAATCCGTATTAGCAGTCATCAAAAATCATCTCGAAGCTGGTCTACAAAGGCATGCTTAGCTCTTTGTACACAAGGTTGGAAGCTCAGGGTGGCAGGGGGGAGGGCGAGAGAAAGCGAAGCCCTGTTGATCCACTGCTTTAAGGCACTGAAAGTATAAAAACTGCTTCACCCAGTGAACTCCCCAAACTTCCTCCAATAATTGGGCTGGGCTGCTCAATCCAGCATTCCTAATCTTCTCCTGCCAACCAAAATGCTGCCTGAGACTGATGGGCGTTGCTCTCTAGCCTATCTGGGGAGCCCGGAGGTTGGGAAAGTTTGACCTTGTGGTCGCTGTTGTGGTTGTTTGCAATGCCGCTTCCCTGCCTGCTTTCTCTTAAAAGGACATCACAGAAGTCTCTGCAACATCTGGAGGACAGAATGAAGGAGACCGCAGGATTTCCTTTTCTTGCTTCCCTCCCTACTTCCCCCCCATCACTGGCACAACATCTGTAAAGGAAGAGGAGGAAAATCACTTTTGAAGGGAAGAAAAAGAGAGGAGGAAAATCTGCCTCTTTTCTGCTTTATTATTATACAGCTGTTAGGAGGTCATTGGCTTGTTGGGGCCTTGCAAGCTTTCTCTCTTCAAGGCTGCCTCCTGACCTTGACCCCCTTGTGGGGGTCTGCAAGCAGCCTTGAAATCACCTGATCCCTCTAATTGGTAGTAAATAGGCAGCTGATAAGGTTTCTAGGAGCTGTCACTTTCTCTAGGCTGAGCAGAGTTGTGGCTGAGTTTTCTCTCCCTATTATTTAAGGTGGCTCCTTAGCATTGTTTAAGGTAGGCTGTGGAAAGATTGCTGTGTGGCTCTGTGGTGGCAAACATTTTGAGGAAGCTTCTGTCTTTTAATTAAATTTGTTAGTCGCAAGTTGTAAAATGGAGCAAAACTCACTTGACCAACTTCTCACATAGCAACATAAATTTGGGGCTCGTAAGCTGAGGGCTACATGTACAACCATTCGCTTAGTGACGGTTCCAAATTTACAACAGCATTGAAAAATATAATTTGCGCTTATGACCGTCAGTATCTCCGTGAGATCAAAATCCAGGCACTTGACAAATGGCATCGTCAATGGAAGAAGCTTTGTGATTCACTTAACAACTGCAGTAATTCAGTGAACAGATTCGCTTCGCATGCGGCACTTAGCAATGGCTTGCTTTACAACTTTTCATGCCAAATTTGTTAAGTGAATCACGGCTGTTGTTAAATTAGTAACACAGTTACTAATCTGTTGACTTTGCTTGTCAGAAGGTTGCAAAAGGTGATTTACAGGACCCCCGGAACACTGCAACCATCATAGCAATAGCAATAGCAGATTTATATACTGCTTCATAGGGCTTTCAGCCCTCTCTAAGCGGTTTACAGAGTCAGCATATTGCCCCCACAGTCTGGGTCCTCATTTCAC